TAAAGTCTTTAGCCAATAATTAACCAGTTTAAATTAATTTTACCAAATCTGACAAAATATGAGCTCAAATATCTGGCCAGAATAATGTCAGAAGTTTTCTCACGGCTACAAAAACTGTGTGGTTTCTCTGTATCCTGGAAACGTTTATTCAGGTATTGGTAGGGAAGCAAAGATGTCTTTGTAAAATTGGATTTCCACTATAAATTCAAACAAAATTTCAAAGTAAAACTACAAAGAACAGAACTGGTATACGCTGTAGTTTGAAAGAAGTTGCTAAAAAAAAAAAAAGTCTAGTTTGAATCTAATAATGATCTTTGAAACTTCCTCTGAGGCTCATTATTTGTATTTTCTCATTATTTCCCAACTAGCTTGTTCTCTGTCAACATGAGACTCAGAGCAACTTCACCTTCAGCAACTCATCATCACCTCAACCCCACAGAGACCCAGAGGAGCATCTCCAGAAAACCTGGGGCCTTCAGTCCAGGACTGCCGTCCAGAACTCCAAAGTCCTCAACAATCCCTCGGTTCCTCTATCGAAGCAGAAGCTTTGGGAAATCCTCAAGTCCAACTCCAACCCGTCGGTAAAAATTAAGCTCCAGCCCATCATGAAAGTTCAAGGACTCTCCAAACTGTCGAGGTTGTTCAGCTGGGGCGACTTTTACTCCAACATCAAAACCGTCAAGCTGAATTTGCTGATAATGGGGAAGATTGTGGATCACGGCAACGGCTCTCTTGGCGTCTACTTCCGTCACAACTCCACGGGTGTTGGCAACGTGTCGGTCAGCCTGGTCCCGCCCATGAAGGAGGTGGAGTTCGACCTGGAGCGCCAAAGCGTGGTCCACCCCAAGGAGTCGAAGACGTTCAACTGCAGGGTGGACTACGAGAAAACCGAACGCAGCAAGAAGGTGATGCTGTGCAACTACGACCCGTCGAAGACGTGCGACCAAGAGCAAACCCAGAGCCACATCACCTGGATGTGCTCCAAACCTTTCCAGGTCATCTGCGTCTACATGTCGTTCTACAGCACGGACTACCGGCTGGTCCAGAAAGTCTGTCCGGACTACAGCTCCCAGATCCCCCCCTACCTGCCCACAGGGTAAACATGAGGCCAGGTGACGAGGATGAAGGGAGGATGAAGGGAGGATGAAGGGAGGATGCAGTTTGAGCCATTCAAAACTTTGTCCTAAAATATATGGAATGCTGTTTGTACCGTATGAGTCAAATATTAACAGCAATAATTTGGATTATTTAGCCTGTTGTAAGCAGGAAAAATATGGTTCAATTTCATATTCACACCAAATTATTCATTCATTATATAAATCTCCCAGTTTCAAATTAAATATTTATTTAGCAAGTTAAATATTTAGTTTACCAACTAAATATTTAGCCCCAAACTAAAGATTTAGCTTGCTAACATTTTAATATTTAGTTTGGAACAAAATCTTTAGCTTACTAACTTTAATATTCTGTTTAGAACTAAATATTTAGTTTGAAGTTTACAAGCTAAGTAGCTTGCAAACAACAACCTACCTAATATTAGCATGTTAGCTCACTAATGTGCTAATATTTTGCTAATGTTTAGCTTGGAGCTAAACATAAATTAAATATATAGCTTGCTAGTTAGCTAAATAGTTTTTAAACAACATATTTAGCATGCCAACTTGCTAATATTTAGCTTTGGAGCTAAATATTTAGCTAGCTAACTTACTAATATTTAGTTTTGAGCTAAAAATTTTGTTCCAAATTAAATATTTAGCAAAACTAAACAGTTTGTAAAGAACATATTTAGCTTGTTAACTTGCCAATATTTAGCTCGGAGCTAAATATTCTTAGCTTACTAGCTTAATAGTAAGCTAAATAATTAGCTAGTAAATTTTAGTAAGCTAAATGTTAGCTTACTAATATTGAGAGATGTAAATATTCACGAATATTTAGTTTACTAACTAAACTGAGCTAAATATTTAGGTTAATGATCAATATTTAGCTTGCTAGCTGAGCTTAGTTTGGATCTGTAGCCTTTAAAAATGGATGAATAACATGGTGAAATTATGACTGAGAAATTAATACTTTCTCCTCCTATGACAAGCTAAATATAAACTTTTTTGCTTTTAATTTTGATTATGTAACTTTACAACCGGCACCCTTTGGGAACATGCTTCATTAAACATAGTAAAATATATGTTTAGGTGATGTCTCCTGTTGAAAAATGAATGATTGTAGCTCATATTATTTTTCAATAATGTATCAAAAATGGTCAAACTAAAAGGAACCAGAATGATCTGAAGTTGAAGATGTAGAAATATAACCTTCATAATATCACCTTTTTTTCAAATTTCTGCAGTTTAAGTTGTCTGGTGACAGATATTTTCGGAATAATTTGTCTTTTTGTGATTTTAAAATAAATTTCTACTGTCTGCTCATAGTGTACAATAAGAAAATGTATAATTCTCTGGAGTCATATTTGCAATCAGAGTTATTTTGGTTTTAATTAAGAGTTCATAATGTCTGATCCAAACGGAAACCATAAATCATCTCACATTCAGTGCACTTAAACCTTAAATATCAAAGATAACCAGAGCAAAAAGCTGTTTTTAACACTGATTTCATTAAAAAAAAAGGGTGGGGGGGGAAGAAAAAAAAAAAAAAGAAAAAAAAGTTATTTGTTATTTAATTCTCCTTTGGGAGTCAATAAAATATTTTTTATTTTAACTTGAAATTTAAGTTTTATGCAGCTAAATGAAAATAGTTGTAATATTTCAGCACTATTAAGGATTAAGGAGATGCTAAATACATTATGGTTAATCTGATCTTTCAGTCCAAGATAAAAGATTTCAAAATGTATAGAAAAATTAACTATTTACTGAAACTGAAAGAACATCTTTGAATAAACTCGTCGGCTCTAAAAGCCCTGAATTCAATATTCACAC